GACTGCCAGCAAACCAAGGACGTGGGGAAAGAGCTCGAGCCACGCACCTCGGTGAGAGCAGGGTCCCGGGAACAGGGGCACAGGGATGCTGCACACCCAGTGGTCACGGCTGAGTTTCCCAGGAGCCCTTCGAAGGTGGTGCATGACAGCTGTTGTAAGGGGAGAGTGTCCCTTGGGCCGCTAGACCGAAGGGAGTGCAGGGACGGGCGGAGAAGGCTTTCTAACCCCCCCCCCCCGCGAGTTTTCCACTTACACAAAGAGTCCAGAATTTCAAGAGACACATGGAGTTGAAGACATGTAGATTTATTGACATGATGATGAGTCTGAATGATAGCGTGCTCTCCCAAAAAATGCCAGAAGGGGTTTCTTTATATTGGAAGGGGGAGAGGGGCAGGGCCAGGACCTTTAGGTAAATCTTGAGGCAGAGACCTGTTCTCCCGCCCTCTACCTGGGCTTTATGTGACTCACTGCATGTTACATGGAAACCTTGTGTCAGGTCTCTGGGTTCTGGGGTGTGGCCAAACACCCCAGGATTTCCACAGCCCCACAAAGTTCCTTGCTGGGATGACCCCCAAGGGTAACATTATTTTTCTTGCTACTACATACCTGTAATTTTGTTAGTTTTTTCAATCATAATGTAAACATCTGTGTTTTCTAATGATCTTAGACAACCCATGTGAAAGGGTTGTTTGACCCTCAGAGGAGTCATGGCCCATAGATTGAGAACCACTACTCAAGAGACAGGTTGACAACTGGCAATGAAAGAAATGACTAAGAATAAAGGGAACTAGATACTTGATTAAAGATCTCTTCCATATGGTCTTTTATAGCCATGAAAGGAAAGATTCTTATTTACTGATAGTTTTACCCTAAAGTTCAACACACTAAAATTCTTCTTGTGTCTGTTTTGTGGTAAGATCTATCCACTTTTGATGCTATTACTTCAGGGAGATCATACTGGATCTGTGGTGTATCCAGTGTGATGAAGGCATTACCAATACATAATCTAATTTTCATCCACTGAAAAATGAAAATAATTTAGTTTATATCTGATACAGTGTAAATTGATGATCATTCAGCAGTTTGGTAGTCTGTATGAGAGTTATCTCACCTGTAAAATCAAATTGAAACCATTATGTATATTTAATGCCATGTATATAATTCATAGCTTTAGTGATAGCTACCCGATAACATATATTTTTCAAGTTCCATTGAAGGGATAGTGTTGGGTACATTAGCAGTTATTCAGGTTAATTTGATGGAGATAAAAACATCAAGAATTTGAAGACATGTATTCATGGTACTTCCTCCCACATACACACATATAAGCTGATGGTGTCTGTTGAATATAACACCAACATGTTCATGTCTTTAATTGAATCCAGACTTTAAAATGTCCTCCTCTTTCATACAGATGAACATTGTTATGTAGAACAAAAGATTATTTAAAATATGTTTCTGGGTGAGAGAGGGATGTTGAATGGCACTGAGAAATCACTGATGTTTAATAAGATGTGTCAGATATCAGTCAGAGGTTTGGCAGGCTAGACTATATCTGATAATAATATGGATCATTCTCTCCTTTTTTGTGTGGCTCTTCTCCCCTAGTGACTCCCAGCCTTTGGGATGAAGTAGTCATAGAAATATCGGTGGTTGCATCTTGCATGTCTAGGTGCTTTCTACCCTCGCCATTCATGCTATATTCATTTTAATATTATGCTTCCATTTCCCTTTTTTTTTTTTAACAACATATGATATCTACTTGTTCCTCTGCTCATCCTTCCTCTCTGTCAGTGTTGGATCCTCATTTCCTGTGTGGGAAAAAGAAAGTTATACGTTTACCTTGCTTCCAGACAGTCTCTCTACTCTTATCTCTTGACAAACCCACTTGAATCCTTATGATAAGTCAGATACTGAATGGACTGGTAAGTTGAACACTTTCCTCCTGTTCTTCCTTCTTTTGATCCATTTTCTTAGAACTTCTATTTCTAATGACATCTCTATTTCATTTCCATCTCAGATCATGAAGCATGTCCTCTATGAAAACTTTCACTCAGGAAGAATTGTCCACACTTTACTTGTGATCAAATTTGATCTTCTGCTAACACACTGTGTTTACCGTACTCATTTTAGTTTTAGGATAAACTTTACCCTGTAGCTGTCAACATGTTGAGTTACAACTTGTGCTTTTTCAATGGAAATTTGGTGTGTTCAAATTCCATAATGCTATGTTTTTATGCATAACTGTTGAAATATATGTGGAGACATTTTACTTAATATACATATATATGTGTAACAGTAATTAATAAGATGATATGACATGAATTTGCAAGAGAATAAGAAGTATACAGAATTGTTTGAAAGGAGGAAAGGAGAAAAAATATGATTATATTATAATCTCGAAAATAAAAAAAAAATCATAGATGAAATAGTGAAGGTTAGCAGCAACATCTTTCAATATATTTGAAACCTTCACAAAATCTTTTTGTATTCATGAATAAAAGTTAACTCAAATTTTTTTATTATTAAGTGATTAAAAATTCACTCAAGCTTCCTTATATCTCCCATATCCCTGGTGTGTACACTTTTGGCAAAAGGTTATAAGCTTGGATAATTTTTTTCTTTCATGTTTGTAGTAGCAGAAATTGTTTCAACATCTCCACTCCAATTTAAGCAAGCATAAAAGAAAAAGAAAGCCTAATTGATAGAAATTATTTCAGGGAACATTGTACGATATCTATTAATATTATTTATTTACTTACCTTCCCCAGGCCCAGAGTTTTAGTTTGAAAGAAATATAATTAAGAATATGTAATTGTAAACTTTTTTGTACAAATATATGGACTCACATATGTGTAGGAAGCAATAAGGTATGTATTTAACTTTTTACTTTTTAATTTCATAAAACTGGAATTTTTAATAAAATGGATTTATTCATTCAGTCTATAAATGCAAATTAGATTATATTTTCCAAATAATATTTTTTCATTTATTTATTTATTCAGTTTTCAAATCAACATCAGCCCTTCATCCCCCTCATTATCCCCTTACCCCAGTCTTTCCCCCTTCCATCTTCCCCTTCTCTTTTGTGAAAGAAAAGCCCCCATGCTGGGTGTCACCCTCACATTTAATTGCTGCAGGACTAGGCAACAGGCTCAGGGACAGTTCTTGCTCCAGTTATTGGGTGACTCATATGAAGACCAAGCTGCTCATGTACTACGTAAGTGCAGGGGTGTGGGGTTAAGTCCAGACTGTGCTTGCTCTTTGGATTGTGATTTAGTCTCCTCTGGCAGCCTACAAGGGACCAAGTCTGCTGACTCTGTTTATCTCCCTGTGGAGTCCCTGGTCTCTTCAGGTCCCTCAATCCTTCTTCCAATTCATCCATAAGACTCCCTGAGCTTCAACTAATGTTTGAGTGTGAGTTTCTGGATGTCTTTCCATTGACTGCTGGGTGGATCCTCTCAGAGGTCAGTTATGCTAGCTTCCTGTCTACAAGCATAATGGAATATCATTAATAGTATCAGGAATTGGGTCTTGTCTATGGAATGGATCTCACCTTAGGGCAGTCATTGGTTGGTCATGCCCTCAGTTCATGCTTTATCTTTGTTCCTACATATCTTGTAGGCAGGACACATTTTGTGTTGATGGTTTTGTGGGTGGTCTGCTGTCCTTATTCCTCCACTGAGAGTCTTGCCTAGCTACAAGAAGTGGCCACATAAGGATCCATATTCATCACTGTTAAAGAGTCTCAGCTAGAGTCAGGATAGACAATCTGAACCCTCTCCCTATCTCAGGTCTCTGGCGCAGACTGCCCCTCTACAGACAATCTCCCTTCTCTCTCTTCTGATCTCCCTACATATGATTTCCACCCAACTGTACCCCTGCCCATCTTCTCTTCTAACCAGTTCCCTCATTCCATCAACCTCCAATATCTTTTTTGGTTCCCCTTCTAAAGAAGATTCTCTCCCTTGAGTCCTCTTTGTCATTTGGCTTCTTTTGGTCTGGTGATTATACCATGGTTAGTCAGTAGTTTATAGACAATATCTACTTATCAGTGAGTATATTCCTTGCATGTTATTTTGGGTCTGGGTTACATCACTCAGTATGATATTTTTAGTTCCATCCATTTGCCTGTGAAATTCATGATGTCCTTGTATTGAATGGCTGAGTAGCATTCAATTGTGTAGATATACTACATTTTCTGTGCATACATCAAGTTAGAGCAGTACCATTTGTTGAAGATACTCTCCTTTTCCACTGTAAGTTTTAGCTTCTTTGTCAAAAATCAAGTTTCAGTAGTTGTGGGGGCCTATTTCTTGGTCTTCAATTCAGTTTCATTGATCAACTTGTCTGTTTCTGTGTCTATACCATGCAGGTTTTTTTTTACTATTGCTCTGTAGTATAGCTTGAAGTCAGGGATAGTGATACTTCCAGAAGCTTCTTATTCTTCAGGATCCTTTTAGCTATCCTAGGTTTTTTATTTTTCCATATAAAGTTGAGAACTGTTTTTTAAAAATCTTTGAAGAATTGTATTAAAATTTTGATGGGGATTGCATTGAGTCACTTATGTATATTATATCATCTACAAATGATACTTTAACTTCTTCTTTTCCAATTTGTATCCTGTTGATCTTTAGTTGTCCTATCATTTTAGCAAAAACATCAAGTACTGTATTGAAGAGATACGAGGAAAGTGAACAGTTTGACTTGTACCTGATTTTAATGGAAATGCTTTAAATTTCTCTCTATTTAAGTTGTTGTTGGCTATTGACTTGTTGTTTATTGCCTTTATTGTGTTTAAGCATGAGCCTTGAATTCTTAATCTCCCCAAGACTTTTTTCATGAAGAAGATGTTGGATTTTTTTTAAATGCTTTTTCAACATCTAGTGAGATGATAATATGTTTTTTTTTCTTACAGTTTAAGTGGTGCATTACGTTGATGAATTTTCACATATTTAACCACCCTTGCAGTCTTGGAATGAAACCTACTTGATCATGGTGGATGATGTTTCCTTGGATTCAGTTTGTGAGTATTTTATTGAGTATTTTTACCTCAAGATGGAAAATATAAATGAAATAGATGACTTTCTAGTCTGATACAAATTATCAAAGATATATCAAGATCACGTAAACTATCTGAATAGTCCTATAACACCTAAGCATATAGAGGCAGTCAATAAAAGTCTCCCAATCGAAAAAAGAAAAGCCCTGGGCCAGATGTTTTTAGTACAGAATTATACCAGACTTTCAAAGAAGAGTTAATTCTAATATACATCGAACTATCCCACAAAATAGAAACAGAAAGAACACTGCCAAACTCATTCTATGAGGCCATTTTCACCCTGATTCCTAAAGCACAGAAAGACTCACCAAAGAAAGAATTTCAGATCAATTTCCCTTACGAACATTGATTAGGAAGGTGGGGGGGGGGAGGGGAGCCTTAGGCTAGACCCTGGAGGTCAGAGTGCTGGACTTTGCTGGCATTTCCTTGGGAATATCCCACTCTGAAGGCTATGGACCCTACTCTGCAGGTTGTGGCCTAGTTGGAACCAAATGGGATAGTTGGCAGATCAGACTGAGGTGGGATTATTGGAGCAGAATTCTACACTGGTTGGTATTAGGGCCCCTGAAGGTTTTTACGTGGAGGAATGATACTCTTGAGGTCTTGCAATGTTCCTTTGGACTGAAGCACAGGCCCAGAGCTAGAAAAACGAGGCTCAAGGGACCATGCATCTCTCCCTGGATGATATTTTTAATGCCTATTTTAAGCAAAGACACATTCTGGTCATTTAAAAAAATACCGTCTCTGGACATTGCTTTACCCAAGTTCTGGAGGGCATTTTTTTCCATTTTTTTCTAATTTGTTAAAACTGTGACTTAATTATAATAGGATAGTGCTGCTTATGTTTGGGTAGTAGAATAGAGGGAGAAATGATAGAGTGCTGTCTTTTTTTCCTCTTGTTATAATTAAACACACTGATAAAACTAATTTAGGAGAATATATTTTCGCTCAGGTTATGCTCAGTCCTTGCAGGATATCACCACCTGTCTGCATTTCCTACTTCGAGTACTTCTATATCTTCATACTTCTGCACAAACTTCTAGAATTGAGCATTCAAATTGTTTTCAGTATATGTTTAAGATATTTTATGTAAAATTGTATAATTAAGACAGGGTTATGCTTTTATTATTTGCATTTTTTAAAGTTTTCACATACTTAAAACTTCAGTTTTTAGTAGAATTCTTTTCTTTTTGTCAAAGACAGCTTTTGAGAGAAAGGCAACACTTTAAAATAGATAAACACATTTTTTCGCATATAAGATATAATGTGGAAATTAATATTGTGCTGTGTTTGCGATACTGTGAAAATGCAGGGATCATGTTTTGACTAATTATACATCTTTACTTATCCTATAATGAAACATTTAGCCCAGACATATTCTTGTTTTGCACTTTCCTTTGAAGTGGAGGTGTGAGATTTTATTTTGGCTGTGTTCCAACTTGTGCAATAAAATTACATTTTAATGAAAATATCCCTTATTTCTAAACAGACTTTGACTTTTCTTGTATAGAATCCAAAATGATTCTAGGAATGAGTGCTGATTAGAATAAGAAGATAATCCAGCAATGATCTAGGGACTTTTGACTTCAAAAATAATCAGACTAGTGGTTATTTCATTTGTACATGAAGTTGTAAACAAGGACCCAGGCTTCTAAACTGAAGCCTCTTTCTGTATAAAAATCAAGGGTAGTTTTTAAAAATTTAAAACATCATTGGGAAAATAAAGTGTATTGAGACTATACATTTAATTTTTAATGTCTATAAACATTGTTTTATTAGAATACCTGTGTATTGATTCATTTGTATATTATTTACAATTTCTGTATACAATAGAAACCAGGATGAATACTCATGGCAAATTCTATATGTTTAGTAAAATCTTAGCTATCAACCACTTTATCTTTTATATAAAAAGTTTTCTGGCCTTTGTCTCCTCTCCCCAACCATCTACTCTCTGTTTCTACCTTTTTCCAATATCCATGCAGATTAAAAAGAAATGATAGTGTTGCTGTGAGAAACACTATAACCAGAAACTACTTAAGGAAAAACAGTTTTGTTCATCTTTCACTCTGAGGTACCAGTTCATCACTGAGGGAAGTCAGGGTAGAAAGTCAAGTTTGGAATCTTGGACAGAAACCATAGTGAAACTCTGCTTACTCAGAACTTCTCCCTAAATTCTCCTTGGCCATCTTTCTTATAAAACCCAGGGCTGCCAGTCTAGGGTCAGCAAGACACAAAATTTGTTGTGCATCCCATATAGATCAATAAGGATTCCTTATAGATTTGAAAATAGATCAACTCGATCTGAACAATCTCTCAGATGGCCCACACTCACTCTTCTTCTATGAATAGTTCTTGATTGTCTCAAGTTGACAAAAACACCTAGACATTATAGATATGTAGGTGAATCTATGATTAACTGTTTGTCTATGTATCTATAATATTAATCATCTCTCTATCTCTCCTTTCCTATCAATGTACCTACTATCATATATTATCTGATTCATGTACATCTATTTATACATATCCATATATTAGAAACAAAGATAATATTTAAGAAAATATTTGCATACACATGTATATGTGTGTCCATGTGGGCCCATGTTCATGTTGGTACATGGACATATATGCATATATAGAAGTCAGAGACCAAAAGGCCTCACATTTCCTTTATTAGAAGACTTTTGGTTACCTTAGTTACTTTGATGTCAGGTCTCTCACTGGCCTGACACCAAGTATATTAGGTTATATCATTAGTGAGCCCTGGTGATCCTTTGGTATCTTTCTCCTTGATACTGAAATTGCAAAAAAGCATACCACCATGCCGGTCTGTTTTTGTCCGGGTTCTAAAGACCAAACTTGGGTTCTAAAGCTTGTTTTGGAAGCAATTTATTGGTTGAGCTATCCTCCAAGCCCCGTAGTAAAATATAATAGCAATTTAACTTTAAATGTGTTTTGGCATCTTTATAAGAGTATAGAGAGCAAAAATAAAAGCAATCAATACACTTCTATTAATTCACACATCATGAAAAAATGACATCAATTTAACCGGCTAAAGACAAAGTCTCATTGTCAAATTAAGAGATTGTCCATTTAGACAGATCTGCTTCTAGGCAAAGATATCATTTGCGCAATAAAGCAGAGCCTGAAGTTTTAAATAAGTTCCTTTTCAACATGTTATTTTTCCAGCTACCATGCTTCTGGCTCACACTGTCCCATAAAAAGCTTTAAATTTACTACATTTCTAAAAGGATACAGTTTGTGAAGTAGGTAACTGTCATAGTCTATATAGACATTGGTGAAATATATTCACAAAGCAAATCATTTATTCCTCTCCTTTGCCCAGAGATGGAAAATCACTAGGCCCCATAAAATCCTTCGGCTTTTATTTTATGTTTTGTAGCTGAAAATATGAACCTAAGCGGTGACTTGGGTGGTATTTGTTGCTTTTAAAATGTCCTCTCTTGAAAGTCTGTCTTTAATTCTTACAGTGGAATAGCAAATATTTGTGCATAGAGAACCATTATTGAGTGTTAAGAGGCCATAGTTACTTTCATGAACTAGGAAACCCACAGACAATGTGTATGTGAAGTGTGTGAGTGTTTGTGTAGCTGTGTGCAATGTAAAAATGTTTCTGGCTTACATAGCGTATAAACTACTAAATTATGTGAAAATATATTCTTTGTTCTTTATATTTCTTAAGTTAATAATATCACTTATATTGATTGATAATAATGTTCAAGCAGAAGATATTTTTCAAGAATAATTGATATGGAAACATTTAACCTTCTACAATCTTTGCCTCACTACATCATTCAGGCTAGTGTCCAGATGAACTGGTCAGTGAAAACATTTCCCTATCATTTAACAATTATTATAGATACAATATCAAAGCTTAAAAGGTAAGCATTGAACAGCTTTCTGCTAAAATAATCCATTTCTCATTTCTTACTCAGAGCTCACCTCATAGGTAGGCTGGCATCGTCATAACAAGGACTCTCTGAGATTGCTTTTTGCTCTGTGTGCTTTTAATAACAATTTTTCATGCTGAACAAGCCAGAGATGCTGATCTGCTTGGCTCTTGGCATGGAAGTTATGTGTAATCTTTGAGGAATGCTGAGAGGAGGCTAGGAAGGAAATGAGGGGATTTACATTTCTCAACAGTGTAGATCTTGTTCAGCAAAACAAAGGTGGGGAAAGCACCCTGAGCCAAGCCGCCACCTAAAACAGAGCTACCATCATCCTCACACAACACCATGTCCTTCAGATCTCTCAGAAAGACCATGTGTTGCCTTACCCACTCTTGTGGACACAAGGTCCCTTTCACAGACTCTGCTGGCAAGCTATTTTCAACATAGTGAAATTGTGGTGTGTGTGTGTGTGTGTGTGTGTGTGTGTGTGTGTGTGGTGCATGCATGCCATGTGTGTGTGGGGTATGAAGGATGTATGCGTATCTGTGTATGTGTGTCTATGTGTGTTTGTGTGTGTTTGTGTGTGTGTTCATGCCCAGGCACTCAGAAGTCAGAGGTCAGAGGTTGATATCAGGATGCCTTCTTCAATCCCTTCACTTTATAGTTTGAGACAAGTTTCTCAGTGAACCTGTTGCTTGGCTTGTGATCTCTCCTCTACTCTCTGCCCCAGTGAACTCTTAGAGTCTGTTCATCTCTGCCCTTCATTTCTAGGGTTACAAGAATGTACTACCATGTCCATTTTCATGGGAGTGCTATAGATTTGAATTAAGGTCCTAATCCTTGCATAGAAAGCACTTTACCCACTGATACATTCCCTGAGCCCCAGGGACAATTACTTATGAGAGGACTACCCTCTTCAGGCTCACTCAACTCTTTAAATGTAGGGTACTAAGATCTATACCATTATCGACGTCATGCCTTGCAGCCTCACACAATCCACTAGGGAACTATTTTTGAACCCTAAACAAGTTTTACTTTTTAAATTTTGGATTG